AAAACAATAGAACTGCTCAATAACTTGGAAAAGAAGTGAGGTATAAGCATTTAATTTGGTGTGGCTGCATGAGGGCGTGAGAAGGTTTTTATCACATGAAATATCTGCCAAATAAACAGCTTATCATACTTAAACTCCTCCACTTGAGGAGGAGCCTTGTATTGATTTTTAATTAAGGTTCAAAACGTCAACTTTCCTGCCAGCCGTTCATTTTTATGTTGTAGTTCAGCCTCTGACCACTAGTTGGCAGCAGTGAGCCAGCCATTTGACTCNTAATGTTCGTCATATTTGAAACACGTTGCAGCCGGAGGATGCAAAAGAGGGCTGATTCATGGGGGGGAAAACACCTCATTCCACCCTCTGGTCTCACCCCCACCCCGCCAAACTCCTTTCTGACTGAAGCCTGAAAATATTAGACAAATGGCAAAAAATCTACAGGAGGATGAAAATAAAAAGAGGCGGAAGTTGAATGAAGTTCGGCTGCGATGGAGAGACAGCGAGATCAGACGTCAGCAATGAGATATCTGAAATGTATTAAATTTATTATATTTGTATACCTATATTTCATAGTTAGGGTGAAGTTTAGTTATTTTTAGTGTCTTTGATAAAAAAAATGAGGCGATGAATGTGGAGCTGTAGCTGCAGACAGGTCGACCGAGCCGGACTGAGCCGGAGTTAGAACCTTTGCAGAGAGATGGGAGAAGCTAAAAGGCAGAGATGGGACATTTGTGTATTTGATAGCATATTTATTAATACTTTATTTATTTATTTATTGTATTTTGAATGAAACGGTGCTCCACAGTATGTAACCCACTGTGATGACTGGATGGGATGTGGCAGGTGAGAGAGGGCAAACATGCAGTGTGCAGTTAGTTGGTCCGGTCCATTGAAGTGTGGATTCTCACATCAGCAGTGTGATTATTGTGTTAACATACACCACTGTCATTTGTTACCAGTTATTCAGGTAGAGATATTAGACACCTGCAGAAAAAGACAAAGTTTTAAAAAACTTTTTTAAACATTAATGATTGAAGAGAAGAGTTGAACCCCTGCAGTACTGTTTATTTTACTGTCCTCTGATCCACAGTGGAAATGAGTTAACCCATTGTTTGTGCATTTCCTGTTTGTGTGCACAGCTCTATTGTGTGTTGAAGAGCTTTGGCTCTGACTAAACACACAGTTGCAGAGTCCTGTCATCACCTGTGCCATCTCTGCTCATTTTCTGTGTAGTTTGTAATCGTGGTGGTCGACAGCACAGACAGAGAG